TGGAACTTTGGAAGGAGACCTAGATGACTCGATAGAGTCTTGAACGCTGATTACAAATATGGACACTAAAACTGCTACGTGAACTTTATAAGAAAGTTATGAGCCTTCAAAGTTGGCAAAAAACGTTACTGAGGCGAGCTTACCTGGTGGAATCACAGTCGCCGTGGCTCTGCGCCAAAAACGAGTCTCATATTCGTAATCAGGGCACCCATTTACCCTTATAGAACAAGTTCCAGGCAAAAAGCAACCGTGTTTCCACATAGGTTGCACCTCATCATTAGCGTTCTTTTGCAACTTTTAAGGCTCACAACTTTCTTACAAAGTTCACGTAGCAGTTTTAGTGTCCATATTTGTAATCAGCGTCCAAGACTCTATCGATGTACCTAGGTCTCCTTTCAAAGTTCCATGGGAAGTTCAAAACATTCCCTGGTTAGAATGGAATGATTTCTGATGACTCAGCCAGGTAACTGCATAACTTTCTAGGGATGAGGAACACAAAAGTAGAGTAAGGCCACAGAGTACCGCCATCTGAAACGCTACCTAGATCACCATATTTTAAATATGAATTTGCGATTCAATCAAGAGGTTTTCTCGCTGTGGCTATGGCACGGTCTCATTCAAAATAGCACTGTTGTCCAATCCACTCGTGCTGTATTGGTCATGCTGACCCTTCTACCAAGAAATCATGCACACAGCTCCAAACTGTTAAACTACTAATTAATAAGAAATCCGTCACACTTTCGCACTTCTGCAGAATGATCCAGGCGCTTCATCTGATCATCTTTACTTGCGAGCTCTGCCGTGTAGCCAAGAGACTGAAATATTAGACTAAAGTACAACAAAGCAAAAATCCTCGCAAAAAGAATGAGCGAACCAAGGGCATTACTCTGAAATTCATACAATTTTAGAATCAGATCCATAATTCTGAACATCTAGCGATGGATCTGCTCAGGGATGCAAAATCACGCCACACATACAAGTGGAAATAATCTCTGAGGCGGTAAAGTGCTTTTCGACGGTTATTCAGCACTTCAAAAAACTGGATTTTGTAGTAGAAAGTATTTCAGTTAGTAGTACTGCATCTAATGAATTTCGTGACCAATAAATGCCACTTGGCATGGGTTAGCCTATTGATGTTATTGCGTCCCGATATTGGGACGCGCTCTTTTCCCAAGAAGAGCATAGCGACTCGATGTAACACAGGATGAAATCCACCGCGGAAATTCAAAGATTCTGGTGATCGCACATTGACTGCAACCATTGCAGGCCTCGGCCAAAGATATGAACTGATCCCATCCCGGCCCACCGTAGGCCCAACCCCATGATGATCGTAGTCAGGGTCAACTGTCTTTTGAAGCGGTTCAGAAATTTTTGCGAAACCCTCTCCTCCGGCTGTCTAAACACCAAGCCTGGGTTGACCCTCCTTACTATGAATGTTTGTATGAAAAATTCTGAAATCTCGTCCTTTCCCACTTTCATGCACTCTCCATAAAAACTACAAAATCAATCCTCTATTCCTTCTCCACATAAAACACGATCTCACACTTCCCATCATCACAAGACTTCCTGAGACTCGTCAAAAATCACAACTGTGATCCATTTCGAAAACACCAACAGAATCCAAGCTCAACCGGCCCAATGGATTGTTGACTCTGGTCATAGCCCGTGCGAATATTCAACTTACTTATGGAAAAACGAAAAACATG